AGGTGGCTCCTCCTTGGATGCAACCGGACGCTCTTCGGAGATCAGCTTGTCCCATAGTCCTTCTTCCTTTAGCTTCGAGACCATACACGAGAAGGCTTCCACCTTCAATTGGTCCTACTCAATCATGATCAGCCGCTATCACGCTTCGCGAATCCACCCTTTTGATCTGAAATGCGGCCATACCAAGCTTGTCGAACCCGATTCACCCCTGACTCTGAGTCTGATGTCTTTGCGATCCTCGCTTCTGTTCGGCATTCGTAGGCTCATACTGAATTTCGATTCACTTCTATCGTTCGAGACTTTAAAATCTCTCGATATGCGAATGATTCTGCGATGCCAAAGATGTTTCAACATTTGTATCTCGTCCTTGGGGTGCGACGATTGTTGGACCTCCTCCTTGTCCATCCCCTGTTGACTTTCCACGCCCATGGCAGCTCCGTCGAGACGAGTCCTGCTCGCAGTGTCGAGCTGGGTATTGACCTCCACATTTCCAGCGGTGATCGAGTTTGACCTGAGGGTGTAACAGAAAGAGCGGGTATCACAGGACGGCATAAGCGACCCTTTTGAATGACGTGAAATTGTGCCCTGCAATGTGACGCTCGATAGACGACGCACATGTGGACAGCGTGCTACTGTAATCGGGGATTGCCAACTCGATTTCCCCACGCAGCTAATCAGATGAAGCTGCAAGCCGAATGTGCGGTGACTATAGACGCCGCAATCATCTCGTCGCAGTGGCGGCGCTCGTTTGAAACACCGTAATCGGGAAACCGACCTCGTCTGGGACGTCATTTTCAGGACGTCGCGGGAGGTTCACGATGGGCTAGGGAGCCAGTATGCGGACAATCGGAAACGAAGTGAGCGGTCCATCTGCGCTGATTTCTCCACTGGCACCTTTCATGGACCCCAAGTCCATTCAATCAATCTCGTTTGGAAATGGCCTTTGAGCATGTTCAAAAACACAAGGGTTGTTCTCGACTGGGTGAAGAACCAGCAGCACAGAAGAGAAACTTGCGGCGCGGCGCGGCGGAGCGCACGGACTTCATCAACGGGAAGTATGGAGCGGGCGATCCCACTCGCCGAGAACATTGTATCCATTCAGAACGACTTCTTTATGCAGTATCTTCCGCAAAACGGAGTGTTTCGAGAGACAGAACTCACAAACGCTACTTGAGGACATGAAATGGCTGAAGTCGTCAATATGATCTATGTACAATCTCTATCTGCACTGGTATCGAAGTGTGTATCAAATAGGTCTTCGATCCCGGGATCATCTTTGGCCTTTGATCATATACAACACTCAAATTGTGCATCCGATGTCATCTAATAACAGTATCCGTTCGGCTGCCTGTCGGCTCATGTTGAGGCTTCTTTCTGGTGTTTCACCCGTAGTTTCTTCTCGGTTTTCATGAATTCTCGAATGCCGACAGGAATATTGGCAAACAGGTCATCCTCTGGGTTCGGTACCGTCCAGTTGGTCTCACTCCCACCACCGTCATCGTCCATACTAAGACTGGCTGAATTGACTTCAGCTCGAGGCGCCGTCCGAGCATCTTTTGCATCTGCCTCTGGACTAGCTTTTGCTTTGGCCTTTGCAATTATGGCAGCCCACTCCTCCATTTCATCGCGGAAATCATCCCAGACACAGTGAACACAGCCACTCATGCAACAATTCTCAGGTTCTTCGGGCTGAGGAGGAATTGGCACCCCGTTGATAGTTTTCCACATAGACTGTGGTGGTGCTTCGCCCGGATTGTATCGAGACTGACGACCAGGTCCTGCAAGGCGTGTGCCGAAGACAATGGCCATCCTCTCCTGCGGAGTCTGGGCCTTAGGAGCCTCGGCTGTAGAAGCGGATGTCGGGGCGGTCATTGTACTTGATTGCGATAACTGTGGTGCTGTACGATCGACCGGCAGAGGCGATTCCAGAAGGAGAGAGTAGTAGCCGCCCAGGGGATGTGCCTGTGACGTTGAAGGGGCATTCGTCGTAGACTCGATGCTGCCTTGTATCGAAGATTGATCGTGTGCGCGCATGCGCCGGGAAGTAGCAGTGAAGGCATGGTGACGACGAACAGCAACACGAAGACCCCAGATATATTCAATGCTTTTCTCCAAGGCCACAGCCCTTGTAAAGGTACACCCGCCTGTCGCAACGCGTTTCATCGTCACCTGTCAGTAGATCAAAAGACGACAGACCTCGGAGCTGCTGCGAGATTAGGTCATAGGTGCAAACACGGCAAACTTCATTGTTTATGCGCCCGCTCCGCATGCGGGCGCGCAGGTTGAGATTAAACAATCAACAAATACAAGCTCGACACAACCATGGACTCACCTCCTAAGCGACGGAGGACTGGCGAAGCAATAGATCCCTCTACTGACGCAAGTCAAATTTTTCTACGGTCTCCGGGCCGCGCATCGTATCAATCGCCCACGAGGGCGAGTCTGGCCAAATCACATTCCGAGGTACTCGAGCGCGCGATCGGGAGGTCACCAAGCAGACAATCACCCATTCGAGGCAACCCCGAGAAAAGCCTATCTCAGGATGCTGCGAGAAATATGGGTCTTCGCGGTCGCAAAGCACTTCGACCGTCATTGAACCCGTCGAGCCCTTTGAAAGGGTCGCAAGCCTCAAGATCTCCTATGCTACTTTCTCCCAGCAGACGACCGAGCAATATCCAAGCATTTTCCAAACCTCCACGTCGACTGTCACGAAAAATTTCAGCCGCAGACTTTGTTTTTGGCTCTCCGATTCGCAAAGAGACACAGCCTACGCAAGGTCTGTTGGATACTCCCGAAAACCAAATTGAACACGATTTGGGAACGGCTATACAGGAACAGGACGTGGGAGGAGATGTGGGCTTTGACTATGGCGAAGCCGATTACTCGCGCGACGATGACACTCTTGAGCCGGACCTGCCCCCAACGCCTACACAACTTGGTCTGGAGAGGGCGCCAGCTCGGCCGAGGGGCCTCTTGAGCAGCAGCCCGAGCTCTAGGCAAGAGAGACGCAAGAAAAGAGCCGCCACGGATTATTTATTGGGTGGCTCTGCGAAGATTTCGAAGTCACAGACGTCCCGAGAGGAGATCTCTGAGAACGTTCCAGCATTAGCACCTTTCGCGGATGTGACCGCTGCAGTCGTTGAGAAGCAAAAGTCTCGAAAGGGACTGGAGGCGGAGCTACGTCGGCTGAAGTCCGAGGTAGCCGACATGAACAAGTGGACTGAGAAGGTTGATTCGGGTCTTATTCTGTCTCATGAATCTGATGAGGTTCGCAAGTTGCTGAATCTTCTCAAAGAGGAATCCACACACATCAGCCAGCCAGTAGCTCCACGGCCTCACGTCCCTATCTCTGCGCTCCTGTGTACACTTCTTCCATTTTGCGGGAGGATGCCCCGCCCATCGTCTCCAGAATTAACCATGCCAAAAAATCCATTTGCCCTGAAGGACACTTCCAAATCCGCAGCCTATCTTACTTTGTTCGCTCCCTTGACGCTTCGAGCTACGGCCAGTCGCACGGCATCGAAAGCAGCATCTTTGTTAGAGACACACACGCTTACTTTCACCGCGCCATCCCCGTTCCCATCCTCGCTCTATAATGTTTCCGTGGTTTACGAGACGAATCCAGAGACACAGAATGTCACATCCGTTTCGGTTCCCACTGGCAATGACAGCAAGAAGAGAAAAGTCCCGACTGCGCTTCGGCAATGGATTGACGCCCGCTTGGAGAATCCATTACTCGCCTTGGACGTTGCCACTCTATGCTGGGGCATCAACCGCTACTGGGAAGCATCAGTAGCTCGCGCCCGGCTGTGGGCTCGAATCGAAGCCGATCATAAGGTTCAATCAGGGAAGCTGCCGATACGACCCTCCGTACAGAGCAAGGACGGCATGATCTCAGCCACGGAGCTTCGAGGTCTTGTCCCGCATCTGGGGCGCAGCAACATGGTGATCAAACCTGCGGTTGCGAATGGAAATGGTCCTCGCGTGCTTTTGTCCAATGTGCTGGTCATGGACGAATGGACCGGAGAGCCACAACTTGAATCAGGAATCAGCGTGACCACACCCAACACAACCGTTGATATAAACAGGAGAATTGGGCAGGAGACAAGGAAGTTGTTTCAGGCATTACTACGTGAGGAAAAGGCCGCTTCTATACACGAACGGAAGATTGGTGGCGTGCATGCAGATGCCATTCTACGAGCAACGGAAGGTGCGCTAGGGGCTCTAGAAGCGTCGCGCTGATTGATTTCGTGCTAGGTTCTCCACCTTTTGTCGGTCTGCTTGACGAGCGATGGCGTTATTGGTTTCATTGTCGATCGGACTGGATTGGTTTAGCCGTATGTTTAGATACCATCTTAGTTTACACGATTCAAATGGTCGAGAGGAAAAGGCATCAATGGCCTTTCATAAGCACTACAAGCTTGGTTTTTTTAAGCGATTAATTTGGTGATCATTTCATGTTGAGCCTGAAGTTTAAGTAGCTGTGTAATGGATTCCATCCTTTAGGTGGAGCGACTGGGCGTATTGGTTGAAATCCAGCAGGTAATATTTAGGTAGGCATTTGCACTTTGCACTATATTCTATGAACAAAAGTGTTAGATAGCCCAGTACTGTCCAAAATCCATGGTATGGATGACTATAAAGTACTATACTAAGCAATGACTTTTCTCAGAGCATGTTAAAGAGATATATACTGGTCTGGTCCCGTCCGCTCGCCCACGGGTGGAAAGACTCAGTCTTGGAACTCGAGGGCTACAAATACTGTAGAGAATACAGTAAAGACATTGATCAATACACTAGAATATATTCGAGAGTGTATGGCCCAACACATTCCCCATACACTGGGTAGACCCGACCTTCCACGAGCGTAGATGCCATCAATGATCACATTCACAGACGAGCCAGCACAGAGCGAGTCTTGCTGATGAAGGAACTCTAAGTGGGGCCACAGATGAGTTTGCCTGTCATCTATGCTGGCTGGATCCAAATGACATCAATAAGCTCGCTTGGCCAAGGGGTAAGGCGTCTGTCTCGTATCCAGCCATACGGACAACAGAAGATCGTCGGTTCGAATCCGACAGTGAGCATTTCTTTTTTGAACGTATTTTCCCTTCTCTCTTGCTTGCACAAACGACGTTCTCTTTTTACATAGTGATATGACACGCGCTGCGTTAAGAAGTACGCTTTCATCAAATATTTCCCCATGATGTTGGTACTGGTTCGGTTGGACCTGGCAGCATCCACGCCGTGTTTGTCATACTTTAGGCTCAAGGCCTCAACTGAGCGGTTATAACGAAGATAGTAAAACGGATGATTGGAAATGCTAAAGGGTATCATAATGCAAAGGAAAACAAAAAGCAGATCGAGATATAGAAGGACCCCCGAGACTCTCCAATTATGGTGTCAGAGAGCAACTTTGTTCTTCATTCACGCGACCACGCGCTACACCAGGCCAGCGAATCGTCGAGTAGCCCATCCAGATCCATATTCTTGATACTCTTGCCGGGTGATCACCACCTTGCCAAGTTCCTCGCGATTACTTGCGAATCGAGAGCCACCAAGCCAGGCCGAGCGGAATGGACTAAGGAGAGACAAGGTTAGTGGCGCCGAAGACAAAAAGTGCCCATAATGGTGAAAGGACAGGACAGCTTACTCCTCGGCTCTTCGGACGCGGACGACACATTCTGAGGAAGTGATCGCACGGAGGTCGTTTTCCCTAAGTGCTGCGTTAGCAGGGTTCAATCACCGTTTCGGATAGCTGTTCGGGTTGTGCGCGACACGTACAGTCTTTCCATAAACCCTGGAATGCAGGAATTGCCGCCAACCACCAGGACGTTCGCGAGAAGGGCGGCATGTAAGCCGGGAGGCAGAACGGAGAGACTTTGAAGAATCATGTCAGGTATTCCAGCCTGCTGCATGCCGATATCACTGGGCCTGAAAAGTAGCTCAGGAGCGGTAAACCTTTCATTGCCCAAAACGAGGACATCCTCAGACAAAACCTCAGGGCTGAGACCTGACAGAGCACCCTTCTTCTTCTTTGCGTGCAGCAGCGGATCATGGGGCCGCATGAATCCCTTTTTGTTGGCATTGGGGTCAGGTAGGACGTAGTCCACGACTACGCTTTGAGCATCCTCGCGCTTTCGATTCGCCTTCCAAGTTTTCTCCATGTCGTGTGTGAAGTCATTGCTGATAAAGCAGACCGCTTCCTTGACCTCGTTCATGATGTATGTCTCGTCCACCATGTTGTATTGTCGCATGGAGACGATCTCCTTCAGGTAGTTTGTGAGAAGCTTGCCTCCGACGTCAAGCCGGCGAATGGCACGCTGCAGAGGCTGACCCTTGTAGACCGGGGTGACCGTGGTGTGTGAGTATCCGGAATCCACGACAAGCAGACAGTCCTTGGGGGAGACTTCAGCATCGTTTTTAGTGAGGGGATCGCCGAATAGAGCGTTGACATCGTTCCAGGCGTTCAGGGTTGGGCCTTTACGGATCACGAATGAAAGAGATCAGCATCCTGCGACGCCAGCGGTCAAAATCACAGCTTCCCTCGTAGACATCACCTACCTAAGCATCGTGCATAGCCACCAAACCCCCACTCCTCCATCACCATCTCGTCCGTATTGCGCTGCAGTACCGGCAGGTTATTGGGAGCCTCCGTCAAAACCAGGGTTGTCTCTTCTGGCTTCGCGATCCGCAGCTGCTTGTTCCGAGGGGTGGCTTTCTCTTCGAAGAATGTCTGGTCCCATATCTCCCTCTGGGCCTCCCAATTGACAATAAATCCCTTCTCCACGGGGCGGCGAAACACCGCTTCATTCCAGTCCGTGACATGCGTGTTGAGCTGAGCACCCGTCCATATCCGATTATCGCGGGTCTTGACAATTGCATTGGGTATCGTGACGCAGTGGGAAAGGGCTTCTTCGGCGGGGACGGAGGGATCACAGGCCCAGCCTGCTTTCATTGTGTATGCGCCATTGTCGAGGACGAAGGTCTTCTCGGGGACGAGACGCGTGGGAATGGCAGGCGCAGATTTGGCAGCCTTTGTAGAGGCACGAGACTTTGATGTACCCATGATCTATGTCATGGGAGAATGTGTGGTTGACCGCGAACCATCGAGCTCTTAGAAAGCTTTGGGTGGATGTTTGATCAGTTTGACTTGTGACGGTAGATGTGGACTTTTTGTGGTGCCTGACATTCGAGGCCATGACTATGCGGCTAGCGGTGGTTTCACCTCTCGAGTCTCCAGTGCTGTGGGGGTCCGTGTTTTCATGTTCAACGTCTGCTTTTGAGATCAAAATTTTTGGTTGAGTATGACTGCTCGGTCCTAGGAAGATAAAGTCATGAAGTCATAGTTGCAATGTAATTGACTGTAAGGTGCCAGCACCCATGATATATTGCATGTGATGGAAAGAGTCATCTTCCTTGTCTTCGTTTTTTATTCCCTAACGAGCACCTCCCGTGAGGAGACGTGGACCAGACTGCTCAGATTGCTGGTTTTGATCTGAGAGATGTGGTGAAGACACCTCAGATCAACAAGGAGGAATAAGCGTTGGTTACGTAGCTGTTTGGTTGATTCAGTTCACGTGAGAAATGGCTGCCCGGTGTAGCAAGAGGCTTTGAGGAGACAGGTATGTATCCAAAGTGAAGATTGAATCCATATCCATTCATCTCGTAGTGTGTTGGTAAATGGGTGCTAAGATATCAAGAGATATAGTGATGTATCCACTCGATCACAACTGAGCGTTCGAAAAGGAAGGATTCTTGACTGAAGTGGAAGCTTTTTCAACCCAGCGCGTCTCTGAATAAACAAGTCTATCCATACCTAGGTATGTAGATTGGAATGAGACAATCGATGAAACTTCTAGCTCGCATTAGGTACGTGCGTAAATAAGTATTGCAGATGGGCTTCCTCACCTTCGGCCTGATTCCTCGTCCGGAATATACAGATTTACCTGCCTGGTTTTCTAGCAGGCACCCTTGAAGAATTACTTGGCCGACAGCTACTCAAGACTCAATGATAGTCAAACGTCAAAATCGTCTCGAAATCCAAATCAATATGATCGTAACTAGATCTCCATCCAGAAGGACCATGTCGAGTGACTGTTGCATACAACCATGTGAACTTGTGCAGCGTTCGCCCTACTGAGGGAGCCGGGCACCTTATTGAGTCAACCCGCCCCACCACTGAACCTGAGCCCCGCGGACAACATTTTTATCTCCAAAAAATCCTCTATACCCAACAACATTTCCCCCTCCTCCCAAAACCTCTATACAGTAACGCAGCAGGGCAAGCCCCCCGCCCACAAACAAACTGGAAAAAAAAATGGCCCAACAATTCCCCGTCACCATATCGACCACACTCACTCTTCTGGACCAATTCCAAGCCACACTCGCAACTCCAACGACGAGCGCGCCCCAAGATGCAGGCGCCGACGTCGACGTCAACTCCAACAACGCCTTACCTCTACTCGCCAACTCCGCCGCGAGTCTGAAAGCGCAAGTGACAAAGCTATCACTGCTGGCGATAACCTCGCCGTTTACACATTCCGCCGTGACTACTGTGCTGCGCGCATGCAATGAGACCGTTCTTCCCTCGCTGGTTACCGCGGCGCTGCTGGTGACACCCGCCGAATATACCAAGGCATTTCACTCGGAGGTGCTGGTTCTGGTGAGGACGACGCTTACGGAATTTGCGACGCTGGTCAAGAGCGTGAAGGAAATTGCGGGACACAAGGACGCCGCGAAGACGGCCGATCCGAAAAAGAAAGAGGAGGATCTCACGCAGACTGCGAAGAACGCGGTTACTGTTGCAGTGGGCCGAGTCTGGGATGCTTGTGATGAGGTGTGCGAAGTTGCGAATAAGGGGGTGGTTGGATTTGTGATGCGCCGCGTGGAGCAGTGGCGCGATCTGGTGAAGGATGCGGTTGAAGAGCTTGAGGAGTGGGACCCCGAAGGCGATGACGACTTTTTCGACGATTTGATGGGTGAGGAGAAGGATGATGTGTCCGATGATGAGGGAGATGAGGATGAGGAGAACGCCGCGCTGCAGGAGCAGAAGAAGTCGACGTTGCGGTTCCTCAAGCCCGTCGCCCAGGTCTATCCTGTTATTGTCACAAACCGACTGAAGAATGCCGGGGATCTACCCTTGTCTGCACCGGGTGGTGTTGCGAAACTCGAGTCATTGATGACTCACCTGCACACTGTCCCCGAGCAAGTCGATGAGGTGGTCGGAGCGTTATATGAAAGCAATTGGGTCAAGGCGGCGGAACATTTGAAGAAAACCCAAAAGCACGCCACTCAGGCCGTGAACTCGGTTGCTGCTCCATGGAGTGTAGGCGGAGGTGCTGGAGATGATTCGACGGGTAGCAGTGACAAATTCACTGTCTGGTCGAAAACGTGGTCAAAGGTCATGGAAGAAGTGAGCAAGTCCATCGATGCTGTGGCTGGTAGTGATTAGATTCTTGGTGAAGGCTTGACATCGGCCTTGCGCAGTACAATATATAGTTCATACGATACGAGCGCTGTGAATATACTTGCGAATTCATCATGTCGAGCATTCTCTCATAGGAGTAGATTTGCTGTCACATAACAGTATTTGTACAAATTGCTCAATATTGATCGGCACGATGCAGCCTAGAGATGGATATAGATGTGAAGATGAAGAGTATTGAACCGGCAATTGCAAAGCCCGTGTCAATACCAACGCCGATGCCCGGAGACGTCAGATAAGAATCAAAATGTATCGATTCGAGAAGCTGCATCTTCATGCTCCCACTCAGGCAAGTCCTGCGTTGGAATATGATCCTTGAGGAACTCTAGCACAGCATCCGTACCCTTGGCCACAATCTGCCATCGCGGAACCCGGAACCGATTGCCCGCAACCTCGAATCTCCTCAAAGCAGCACCTCCTCCCCAATTGCGAGGGGACCGCTCTGCACCTAGTAAGCCGATTTTCGGGGGCAAATGGTCGATGTCGTTGTTGCTGAGGTCGAGGACCTGCAGGCCCTGAACTGCCTCGAATTCCACCTTGGAGAACTGATTGTCCGAGGCCAAAAGAGTCTTGACTCCGGGAAAAAAGTGTCTGATGTGG